GTATTACTTCAATTTTTGTATGAACCCATTTGCTCTTGGGGTTTAAATCTAATTATCTGTTTCTTTTGGTTTTGATGTCCTCATTGTCATGTAGATTTTGCTGATGTGTTAAAGAATGCCAGAAGGTTAGGGACATTTAAGCAGTGCATGGTGGGTCAAAGCAGTGAAGCAACATTTGTTGATGCTTTTGAGAAACAGGAAGCCATTAATCTTTGAGGTCGATCCTTCAGGAGAGGCTTTGAGGTCGATCCTTCAGGAGAGGTTGATTTCTTCGTCTATAGTTATTTGTTTGACCACTTGTTATTGCTTATATGTATATATTCTGATTTATGATTATAAAATGCAAATTTGTTCTGCTCGTTGGATGGTACTAGTAGAATCATTGATTCATTTGTCTAAGGATTAATGATGTTGGTTTTCAGCTCTTTCTGTGAAATCCCATGCTCATGACAAATTAGTACCGTGTCAAGATTTGGGCTAAACCTCATGTCCACATTACTTGACAAATATTACTGATGGTGTGTGTAGAATGTCTATTGTCCTGTGATCTTGACTCATCGTAATTTTGTTTTGTTTTCTTCCATTTAAGTTAGTGTCAAGGCTATTATCTTGATTGTGGTTTTAGATTCCTTCATTTGTAGAATCTCCAAAGTAGTCATTAGCAAGCAACGGCAAAGCAATTCAATTGCACAATAGCTGATGTTGAGAATGCACTTGCAAAGTTCACTTGGGCGAAAGAGGCACACAAGAAGATAGAGAAGTTGAAGGAAGAAGGAAAACCATTGCCAAAGAGCATGGGTGAGGTACTATTGCTACTGTTTTATTTTGGTTGTTTAATTAGTTATTATATTTGTATTTCGTTGTTCCTGAGGGACTTCTATATCTGAGCAATTGCATGTTTTGGAAAAAAATAAAAATAAAAAAAATTGAATATTATAAAGATGTAAGCTAGTGGTTTGACTTAGTCATTGAATAATTTAACTCAAATAGATTCGATTTTTTGGCAACCATATATATAAGGGAAATTGTTTATGAGCTGGTCCTCTAAAAACTAGGAGGGAAAAGACCCCAGAACTTTGTTGTTCAATAAACTTCCATTGAAAAGGACTAAAATAACCTATTTTTAAAGTAGGAATGAGACTTTTTTGGCTTTTTTCAAAGGTGCTTTATTATAATGACATAGTTTTGGAGTGTTTTTCCTCCTCATTTTTTAGAGGTCCTGATAAACACTAATCTGTGATATGTATATATATATATATATATTTATGTGTTTGTGTGCATGTGTTATGTATTTATATACGTATTTCACTCTTCTCTTTTATTGTGATTATTCATGAGCATAGCCTGCTGTCTGTTTATCAGATAGATACCCTTTCTACTTCTAGGTTTTAGTACTTGATTCTCCTTGGATGCTTAGAATAAGCATTTCTTATATTAAGTATTAACATAGAATTTTGATTGTTTTTAGAATGGATGCTGGGGCTAAATCCTGTGGCCTTTTCTTTTAGTCTTTTAATAAGTTGGGGATAATGGATGAACGGTTATATATTGGATAATTTGCTGGGAACTCAAGATTTGGTTTGGACTTGAATTCTTTAAATTAGCAGTAGTTCCTGGTTGATGCCAGCCTATAGGTTGTCAAATATCAATAGAAATAAGGTTAGGAGGTGAGGAGGGCTGGGTAAAATTCTTTACTTTCTTGAGTGTGGTGATTATAGTAAAATTGCCTAAAAAGAAAAAGGAAAAAGGAAAAAAAAGGATGATTGATGCTTGTCTAGGATTATGTTGATTGCGGTAGTCCATCTTCAGTGAAATTGATCATTCAAAAGATGGGCTTTTTAATCTTTTTAGTCTCTGTTAGTCACATGATCTAGATAGCCTT